CAAAGTTTCATTTCACACTTGTGGCAGCATCTACTAGAACTTTCCTCCCACCCTTTCCAAATGCATAAGCACTCGTCTGCTTGTTGGTAAGGGTAGCTGTGTACACAGGTGGATAGGCGGTACCATCTGTAATGATGCTGGCCTTCAAATACGGGATTTGTCATCTAGTCCTCCCCATTTGTAAACTCTCCAAAGTAAGGAATGACATCCTCTCCTTGCTTTGTAATTCACTGATGCTCTGTGCCTAGCAGGTGTTCGTTCAGTAAACACCACTGTGACATAAACTGAATTCTCAGCACTTATAAATGAGAAAATGACCACATTCACAGCCAAAGGTTGTTGTTGTTTTAAGATTTCTTGGATTCAGTGTGTGTGTGTGTGTGTATGTGTGAGAGACACTGAGAAATGAGAGCCTCAGAAATGAAGATAGGGCTGGCCGAGTGGCTCAGTTGGTTAGGAGCTCGCTCAAGAGTGTGAGCTCTGAGCAACAGCGGTTCGAGTCCCAGCCCGAGCTGAGCAGCCGCTGAGCTGCCAACAGGTGACAGGATGGCTCAGCTAAAAAAAAAAAAAAAAGGAATGAAGATAGCCCAAGAATGGCAAACATTAAGGTACAAAGAGATGAGGCAAAGTACACAGACCCACAGTGAGACAGGCCAGCACAGGGGTACCCATGGAGTTCCTCCCAGGTCCAAATATGAATATTCATCTACTTTTAAGTGATGTAGCCAACACTGTGGTTCAGGACTTTGTGATTTGGGGTGCTCTGCCCCCACAACACAGCTGTGGGGAACCACACATGCTCTAGGATGGGCCACCCTCACAAAGATGGGTGCAATACCACAGGCCTCAAAATACCTAATCCACACCTTTGCTGAAGCTGCCATAGCTTTTCCTTCCAAATTAGAAACTCCTTCATGAAGCCAGGCATCAATTATGAGCCTGTTGACATGTGAGTGTGACAGCTGTCACTCGACGTTGGTACCAGCAAAGCCTGCCCTCACAAAGTGCCATCCATTCCATGAAGGAAAGGGGGTACCATGTGACAGAAAGAGCCATGGACCAAGAGTTGGAGGGTCTGGACAAGTCGTGTCATCCTTCAAGGTGCCTATCTCCTGGTCTGGGAAAGGAGACACAATCTGTGGCCAGCCCACTGGCTGAAGTCACCTCCACTGTAATGTGGGAGATTAATAGGCACTTAGGTGACAGCAGTGAGAGGTCACTGCCACCCAGTGGACAGCAGGGTCTCCTTCTGGACTCATGGTCTCCTGCAGCAAGGATTTCTACAGGGAGGATAACTAGACTAGAAAGACAAATTCCTTCCTATGTGAGAATTTAAAAAAATTTTTTCTTTAAAAAATGGTTATAAAAATATCAATTTTTTCCCTCTTGGATTGTAAAGTAGTCAGAACAAGTTAATTAAACAATGGGCCTTGAGAGGATGAGCTTTGAAGTGACAAAGACCGGGGTTCAAATCGCAGCTCCCCTACCCTACTCACTGCGTGACTTTGGGCAAATTACTGAACCTTTAGAAGCCAGGGTTTGCTCATTGGTAAGATGCGGATAAAAATAGTACCTGCCTCACAAGGGCAATAGATGCTGTGTCAAACATTCGCCACATAGTAAGCTCTCAAAAATTAACAGCAATTATTATTATTGTTCAGTATTTCCTCTCATTATCTGGGATTCGTCTTACACAAACGCAGTTGAAAGTAACCAAAGTATCACGGAACAAGTAAAATAGTGTCACCATGTATATGCAAACAGCCTGGGCACTATATTCACAGTCGTGCTCAGATGCTCGCTTATTTATTGTGACTTTGTACACAATTCTAAGGGCAAGAGCAATGATGAACATTTGACCGATCTCCTACTGTGTGCCAAGCACTGTCACTAAATGTGGTACATGTGTCACTACACTGAATCCTCACAGTTCCCCAGATAAGGACAATCATCTCTCTCATTTCACAGCTGAGGACATGGAGGCTGAGAGAAGCTTGAGTGATTTGCCTCAGGTCAAAACGATTAAGTAGGAGACCCAGGATGTGAAGCCAGCCAGCCTGATGTCAATCCACACTCAATCAATACACCATGTTGCCTCCATGACTATCCTGGTGATTCCATCTCCTTTCATAGCAGGTTAAAAAGAGAGTTGCGGGGAGGGAAGCTGCAGTGACAGGTACACTGACAGCTGATGATGGGCTGAGGGATTAATAGCGAGACAGGGAAAGAGAAAGAGATAAAAACCTCAAGGAGAAAGGAAGTCTTCCAGAGCACAGCTGCCCAGACCCACTATAGGGGTCAGGACACCCTCCTATATCTAAAATATACCCGAGAGTTTCATGATTTCACAGCGCAGTGCAACCATTTTCACTAATGCCATCAAGAAAAACCAAATGGTGTGCTACGGAAGACAGGAACACGAGAGGGAAAGCAGTGTGGGTGACAATATGAAGGGATGAGATTCCCCAAAGACAGTTCATCTGTGCCAGCGGTTGGTAAACTGCGGCTCATGGCGAGCCACATGCGGCTCTTTGGGTACGTTCTGTCTCAAAAGTTTGCCAACCCCTGGAAGAGCCAATCCTGTCCCTCACAACAATTTAAAAATTATTCGAGAGCCATAAATATATCTTTACATAGTCACCATTATGTGAATAATATCCTCTAAAAATTTTATAAATGAAACTATGATAGTTTTATTTTCATTTTCAATTTTACTTCAGAGCCTGTGGCTCGCGAGCCGCAGTTTGCTGACCCCTGGCGGCTCTTCCGTCTCAAAAGTTTGCCGACCCCTGATCTATGCTGACTGCCCAGGCAATATTGCATAAATAAGGCACTGCCTTTGAAAAAGATAGTGTGCAATTCAAGGAAGAGTTTAAGAAATATCAACAACAAGGTACATCCGGAGAAGTGTTTTGTGAGCCCATACCTCTTATTTTAACCTGCTGCTTAATTTAACGCAGTTTCTATCAAGTCTTGACCCAAAAAAATCCTTCAGTCCACTGTGCCTCTCAGTTTAGAATCATGAGTTTGGTGCCTTTAGCCAGTGGAGCACTTAAAGGTCTCACAAACTAATTCTATCAGATAACTTAAAGGGACATGTATTGGAAATGCAGGTGTAAAGATTATTTTTAAAACGTTGAGAAAAAAAAAGGTGTTAAGTGGCCTCCCTGGCACAGGCAGCTGTCACCCTGGGTTTCCAGCCTTCTCCTCAGCCACAGCCCAGGCTGGCAGAGACAGAGAGACCCATATTAAACCACGAGAGACGCATGTCCAATCAGAAGCCAGTCACAGCTCCCTGTGCATCACTTGAGCTTGTTACCCACTGAAGTTCGATTTTTGTTTTATACCTATTCACATCACCTTCTCTAGGTTCCATTAAAAATGGCTTTCGAAGTCCCCCAAATGAAGCTTATCAGAACATACCTGCTTGAAAGGCATTTAAAACCAAATGTGAAAAAAATTTAAAGCAGGCATTTCAAATACATGCAATCATGGCAATGATCCCTTTAGCTGATCCTCTGCTCCTGGTTATCTGAGCAGCGAGAAACTTCCAAGAACCAGAGCCCCCTTTCATCAATGGTTCCCCATCACCCTGGCCGGCCAGCAGCGTCCAGACAATAGAAAAGCTGTTCCAGCAGAAACAATGCGGCTGCCCTTATCTCTCTAGAATAGGGTCACCAGATTGAACAAATAAAAATACAGGACACGTGGTTACATTTGAATTTCAGATAAACAAAGAATCATTTCTGACCGTCCCATACAATATTGAGGACATGTTCACATGAAAAAAAATTATTTGTTGTTTATCTGAAATCCAGGTTTCCCTGGGCATCCTGTATTTTATCTGACGTTTCTACTGTAGGTTCTGATCCTCTCAGGGATTTGGGATGGGTGGGAAGTAGGGGTAAGTGGGGACTCCACTTACCAGCCTAGGAGAATGGCCGAACGAATGGCCCAGGCATTCTGGCTTCTTCTCACGCCAGGCCCCCGTCCCCTCCCGTCCCCTCCCCCTTTCCTCTCCAAGATGGCGCCATGGCTCCAGCCAACCCGACTCCAAGTCCCATCCTTTCCTTTAAGAGACGCCTTATCTGATTCCTCTGGCTCTCTGCCTCCCCAGCACACCTCCTAATCTGACCTCTTCCCGCATGGAGGTGCACACTGTAGAAAGGCTGCTTGTAAGAACTCGTCTGTTTCCACATTCTATTGTGTCTTGTTTTGTTTCCCAAGAAAGGCTGCACATAGGCTTTGGAGGGCTTCCTGACTGGAGGTTTACCTCCATTTGTTTTCTTCCCCCATACAGACCCCCTCCCACGCACTGCATTCAATAAGTGCCAAGAAGCAAATCGGTGTTTGTTCTCTTCAATCATAATTTCAAGACCGGAATTGAAGCGAGGGCTGAGAGCCAGCCCAACCAACTTGCCTGGCAGAAGTTGCCATGGACTCTACGCCCACAGACACTGGCCAGCCTTGTCCCCCTCACTACTTCCTACCACTCATTACTGATTACTAGTGAAATGCGCTCTCAAATAATCACATACACTTAACAAACACAGGGGGGAAAGGGCTCTGAGTTTCAGGCTTCTGAGTGTGTGCTTGCAGCAAAAACTATTTACAGCTAGGCCGTAAAAATGCATGGAAATAGGAAGAAACACTGACACAACAATAAAACGAGGGGAGATTAATGATGCCGTAGTACAATCTGTTTTCACTTGGTGCCGAGAAAATTAATTTTTGAAGACATTTCATTTAACTTTGCAATATTTTGCAGTTTAACCTCTGATGCTTGAAACTTTTCCCTTTTATCCCTGAAGCTTAAGGCTCGGGGAAGCAACTTTTATGTCTGGTTGTAAGTATGGCTTCATGGCCCGGGACGGAGGCAAGGAACGTGTCTTCAGGGAACAAAAGTTATTGCCAACCATAATTCTCAGCTCTTCACCTCCTACTGAAACGACCACTTGAATAATCCAAAATCCAAGTTCCAAAAGAATAAGATGTGTTACCTTCCAGAGCAAGGCACCGGGGTGGGCTGGACGACCAGATAAGGTTGTGCAAGCACTCGAGGTATTCTGACCCCTCGAGTTTAAACCCGGGAAAGCAGTGATAGGAGATCACGGTTCCCACTGGGAAGGAAGTCTGGAACTCGGAGATGTTCACATAGCCATTGGAAGAGGCCGGTGGTCTCAGGCAGCCTGTGACAGGTGAAAGAAAAAGAGGAAAGTCTTACCTGGTGATCTCTGTACACCTAAGAGACGAACACAGCACTCTCTCTCAGGTTCCCCCACTAAAAACGTGGCCTCTGAGGGATAAGCACCTGGGTCTTAAACGTTCAGACTCCTTTTCTACTCATCTATGCTATCTGTAATGCGGATATTTGACTTTATAGTTGCAAATGGCACTAGAGGGTCAGAGGAGGTAGTAGTAGTGTGTGTGTGTGTGTGTGTGTGTGTGTGTGTGTGTGTGTGTAGGGGGTGTAGCTGAGGATCGGGATACCCCTAGCAGGTGTTTCCAGCCCTGACTGCATGTTAGAATCACCTGAGGAACTTTTAAAAGACACCAATGCCAGGACCCATGCCCAGAGATGGCAGACAGCCTGGGCACCCCTATCTTTTTAAAAACTCCACAGGTAATCCAAACGTGCCATCAGAGTTGAGATGCCACAGAGGAAACAGACACCCCGACTGTTTCAACGATGACAGAGTGGGGTCTTGAGAAGTTTATGATGCCAGCTCTGTTCCAGTGTCACAGAATATGGAACAGATTCCTGACTGACACGATGAGATTACACTTTAGAAAATCCAGTTGTGTTTTTATGTGGTGCAGTGGTTCTCAAACTTCAGAACAACTCAGAGAGGGCCTGTGGGAACACAGACCGCTGGGCCTGGCCCCCAGGACTTCCGGCTCTGTGGATCTGCTTGGGCCCAAGCATGTGCATCGCTAAGGATTCCAGGTGGCGGTGAGGCTGCCACTGGAGGTCTGCAGACCAGGCTCTGAGAACTTCTGCTGTAGTCAGTGTGTGCTCTGTGCACAGGATTCTGTGTGCGCTCCACGTGGAAGCAAGACCTGGATCCCATGCTCCTATTTCTGTACAACAGTAGCTGTCTTTTTGTCTGGAAGCCTGTGCAGCCCAGAGAAACACTCCCACTGGCACAGAATCCCATTTTGTGCTGCATCCACTGTGATCATGGACCGTCTTTCGGGCTTCAGTAATTTCACTGGAGGGTATAATGACCCCGCAGAGCTGGTGCTCTTCCCTGGGAGAACTAATTGTGTGTGAAGTAAATAATGTATAATGGAAAATACCTAGTTTCCCTTCCAATCACCAAGGACAAGTTACATTAAATGACTGAACCCTTCTCCTAAGCTGACTTTGTTAGATATTATATGAAGCATCGGAGAGCTTGGTGTTTAGCAAATTGCTTCGGATAGCACCCCGTATGAGATCTGTGCATCAGAAAGAGGAGAGGGTGAGCGTAAGACGAGGGAGGCCCCCTGAGATGCAGCATTTAGGGAGGCGCTCACGCTGGGGTGCAAGTGCTGACCAGGAGACACAGCAGACCACTGCCCGGAACTGGCCAACACACAGGAAGGACCATATCCGAAACGCGTGATGCTCAGCCATCCTTTTAGGCAAGTTCCCATGGCCTTAAATGATTATTCTTGTCTGAGCTGAAAACTGACAATGTTCATGGCAAAAGTGAAATGTAGGGGCGGGGGGAGGTTGAGAATCTGGAATACACAGAATCAATAATTGAGAAAAAAAGATAAGCAAATTAACATTTGAACAAGTGAATGTATTAGAGCCTCTGCATAGTTCAAAGGAGTTGGCACAAATGACTGTGTCTGTACCTCCTCTGGGGAAGAAATGGTTCTAAGCTACCCACCTGGTTAAACTGACTTCCTCCTAAATAAAAACTCTGACCCACAGTGAGCAGGAGGCCATCAGGACACCGGTCTCTAAAACATAAAGTCCCCATGGAAAAAAGTGGCTTTGGAACAGCTCCCCCGCCCCCCCCTCCACCAAAAGGAGATGGAAGGGGTTATAACTCGTGCAGTTAATCAGAGAAGGAAAGATATGCTCACTCTTGGTGGGAGACAGCCTGTTCTAAATATAACGGTAGAAAACTGGCTTTCACTCAATAGTTCAATGTGATTTCTATTTGCACTTCTAGATAATAGAGAGAAGCCTCCTCAGGCTTTGGCTTCTGGATCTATAGGTGGAAATAAAAGTTACAGAATGAAATGTCACTCTAAGGGCCAATTAGATTCCTCCTGGGGGCCGAGAGGTGTCAGGCTGCCTCAGGCAACCATGATTCCTCACTGCTCATGCTGTGCCCCGGGGGGGGGCAGCAGAAGGAAGGTGGAGCATCTGGGAGGTGTAGGGGGTGAAGCGAAGAGGGGGGCACAGACCAGGGGCACCCCCGCTGTGGGGACCGAGGAGGAAGGAAGGTGAGCTGTGGATCGCAGCGTTGCTGTTTGAAGAAGCATGGCTCGCCTCTCCAGAGCAGCCGACCAGCGCTTTTGTTGTTCCAGGGCTATCAAAGTTATATTTTGGCTGAGATTTGAATAAAGGGGTGGAGGAGGGCAGAGGCAAGGGGGGCCAGACAGAGCAAGGGGAAAACCTCTCTCTGAACTCCTGACAATGACACCCGGAGATGGATATACCACCAGAGGGTATTTAATAAAAAAAAAACAATTATTGGGGCCAAAAGAGCACCTAAAGAAGCAAACTGTATTTAAGTGACATAAAAGGAAATAGAAATGGTGGGAGAACAAAAGGGTAAGTGGAAAATCTGAAAGCGAGAAGTGGCTGGAGTCTGAGGTAATTTTCTTGGCCGTTACTCAGGGATGCAGGACTGGAACGAATTAGTGGTTAATAAAGTTCATTTGAATAAATAGCCCAACCTAAGAGTCAGCTGCTGGGTTCATGGATCGTCTCTGAAAGTGTAAATGAACCACAGGTCTCCTTTAAAAGATGTAATATATAACACGCTAAATACCAAAGGAAGTTTCGGGAGAGAAATGCAGGAGTGCGATGGTCTGAGCTGCCTCTCTTCTCCTCATCTGAAACCTTTGTTTCTTCAAGGGGTCATGACTCTTAAGCTCTCACATAAGGAAATGATTTATTTCCAACTACGGGGCACAAAAGGTAATATCAGCGTCTGCCAGCTAAGATTTCTAAGCACAAAGTTAACATTCGTCTCAACTTGAATGTGCCGGTGTTTTGGTGCAAATAAGATTGCTTTCCCTCTCTCTCGAATTTTAAATTATGCATTGGCTTCTTGGTCCTTTGGTCCAAGTTACATGTCAGAAAATAAAATCAGAATTAATATGAACCTGAGGGTTTAGTTTCACATGCAGGGCCCTGTATGTCGTCGGCCCAGGCTAATTTAAGAGAAAAAAAAAATATCGGAGGATAAATAGTCACCGTGTGGTTTGGATGAAATTTGAATTTGATTATTTTTCTGTTCCTCATGCATTATAAAAAGGGATACCATTATTAAGAGAAAATAGCCTCTGTAAGATTGGCCTGAAATATATTCTCAGCACTAGTGAAATAAAATGCCCTGTTATTTCCACTAAATGCATACTAGTTCCTCACTGTGTTCACAGCTCAGGTACAAGTCTTCTAATTCTTAAAATCCATGTGGTTCCTTAAAGGAGACGTGCGACACGCTAAAGAAGAAGGTAGCCCCCAGGTATACTTTGAAGCTGGGTGTATGGAGCTGGAGAAAACGGGAGTGATTTGAAGATTCTGAGAACAGAGCTTGGTGACGAACATGAAGCTACAGCTGGACCATGTGGGTGGGGTGGGCGGCTTTGTTTTCATCGCCATCATCTGTCTCATTCTATCAGAGAAACATGCACACGCTCCACCACGGCTGAGAGAACATCCGAGAACGACAGCTTCCATCTCGTACCTTGACAGATGGGCAGGTTGTCCCACGTTCCGTCATCGCGACATAACGAAACCAGGTTGTACAGGTCGGGGTAACGGATCTTGAATCCTTCGTGACAAGTGATGATTAGCTTATCTCCGTGTCTGTAGGTCTTGTTATGAATCTCAGCATCTTCAATCTGAGGGATGCGGCAATCTGCAATCGTGTAAAAAGGACACCTTATTTTTGGGATTTAAAAACAGTTGTGGCGCATGGCTTAAAAAGAAAGCTCTTATTTTCAGGCCTGGCCTTGACCTCCACAGCAATCTGAGACATGGCTCCTTATTTATCACTCAGCTCAGGTCCCAGTGACAAGCAGCAGAACCTGCCACATAGAGAAATCGGAAGAGGTGGAGGTGGCTCAGGACCCGGTCACAGAAGGAACTTTGTTTCCTGCTTGTGACATTTCACACCGTACGGCTGAGCTTACAGAGGACTTTGGAAAGACGTGAGGAAAGACAAGAGTTGGGGATTCACCTGATTGGTCTACCCGGTTTCCCCCTGTGCTGTTTGTGGACAGTACAATCTGTCTGGCTGGTCCTGTCCAGTTGCTGCCTATGGGGTGAAGGCTTGGGCCGGATAAGAAAATATGCTTTGCAGAACAGCAGTGGGGGCTGAGCTGCGGATGCACCTGCTGTTAGCATTCCCCATCTACCTGATCTGTTTTGAAAAAGTAAAGAGAGCTGCACACACCACTGCCAATCTCGCAAAGGCTCAGGGCAAGCAACCTAAATGGAGTGAGAACAGAATGAATGTGGATGGGAAAAGATGTACGGCTGGGAGAGAGAAGCGGGTGCTGGAGGAGCCCAGGCAACAAAGTGATGAAAAGTAAAGCAAAACGAATCAACTACAATGATCTGCTTCTAACTCTCTCCACTGCCAGTTCACCATACAGGCCTCTCCATTCTGTGCTGTCAAGTTGGGACCCTCTCCCTCTACCCCCTCGCACCCTAAACACTGCCCAACTAGTCCCATCTAAGTCACACTGGTCACAATGAATCTTCATCTTTTATGGGCACATCTCTGTTTAACGCCTCTGATTTTCCATGTCCATATGCTCGTAAGCTTGAGCTATTTATTTCTACTTTTAGAGTCAGAGAGGCCCTGACGTACATAGGTGGGTTATGGTCCAAGTCTGTTGCTTCTGAAGTTTTTGAAACAAGACACAAATCCAACAATAGCACTTTGACAAGCATAGAAAGTTCCTCCAGAAATTCCTCAATGCTCCAAGAGATTGTGGGTTTCTCAGCCACTCCCCAGAGCCTATCGAATCCACGGCAGGGTTGGATTAGTAGTAACAGGAACCTTGACCATCAAGTTCCTCTAAGCTTTGACTGTCAGCTCTGTGCCACTGAGCCCTGGGGACCCTAATGCAGGGGAAGAGTGGAGAAAGAGCAGTGGCTGGCTCATGGATGGCTCCAGTGGCTGGGAACTAGGGTGGCTTTAAAAGAGCACATCCTAGAAGCTTTGAAATGGGGTTGGGGCTGGGTTTACTGGGACAATGGGGAATCTGACAACAACAAACTTTAGGGCAGCCGGGTGGCTCAGTTGGTTAGAGCACGAGCTCTGAGCAGCAGGGTTGCGGGCTCGATTCCCACATGGGCCAGTGAGCTGCGCCTGAGCTGAGCTGCCACTGAGCTGCCAACAGGCAGCCGGATGGCTCACCTGGCGAGAGCACGTGCTCTTAACAAGACTGCTGGTTCAACTCCCGCATGGGATGGTGGGCTGTGCCCCCCACAACTAAGACTGAAAGTGGCCACAGGACTTGGAGCTGAGCTGTGCCCTTCATAACTAAGACTGAGGGACAACAACTTGACTTGGAGCTGATGGGTCCTGGAAAAACACAATGTTCCCCTTCCCCAATTCCTCCACACTGTTCCCTTCACCAATTTCCCAATTGAAAAAAAAAAACCCTCTAGAAAACAGAATGTTAAGTGATGGGAAAGCCTCAGGCAGAAGAGGACATCGCTGGCAGAGGAGCGCCCTGGCAGCTGCGAGCGAAGGCACAGTGGCCATTAGCTGTTTATATGGGTCATCAGAAGTCAAATGCTGGTGAGGCCAGGCCTGCCTTATCTCAGCCCTCAGTACTACCGTTAGCTTGACAGCAGGAACTGTGTCGCCCTCTTCCTCTGACATTCCCTCCAGGCCTCCAGACCTTTGCACACACCTGGCGAAAAAGAAATGCTGAGGCGAGCCTTGTGGACCTCTGCCCAAGAAACTTTGAGCACACGGCCCCCACCAAGAGGCTGACTAACAGGATTTTGGGGCAGCTCTGGCAGGTGAGACTTCCCCTGAGGAACCCATCATCACTCCTCCCTTTGCCAATGGACTTCAACAGAGAGAGAGTCTTGGCTGGAAAACTGTGTTCTGGTTTCAATTTTACCTTTCATGTTGGTGTTTCAGGCTGCTGAAAGGGGTTTTCTGACTGTTCATGTTTAACCAATAGTTTTTCTACTAGAATTCCTGAATTCCCCCCCAAATCAAACCCAGGATACTTCTGACTGGAGTCGCAAGATGACTGACAACTCTGCACACATCTGCTGCCCTCTTCTTAATGGAAAATGTAAATTTTTTTTTCAATATCACTATGCAGAAATTATTCACAGCAAATAAAAACACATTTATCAAGTTATCCATCTGTAAAAGCTTGGCTGTGAATAGATCCTATGGCAGTAATTTATATGAATAAACAACCATTTTCATGATTGATTTAAAACTGAATCAAGAATTAACCAGTATACTCAGGAGGCAGCCAGCCATTGGTAGCACGTTCGATGGATGTAAGTGTTCATTTGGACATTGGGGCCGTGTGGATAGTGGCTGACCAGGAGCAGAGGCACCCAAGCCTGTTTCCAAGGATGGTTTTTCTGCATAGTGGGCTATAATATAGAATGCTTTGAACTTCTAATTAGAACGCCAAGTTTCCATAAATAGGAACTGGGGACGGCTGCAGAGCATATGACCCAAAGTTCAAAGGGAATTCACAGCCTCCCAAATCCCAGTAATTATGTACTCCAGTCAAAGAAGGGTCACCGTAGGGAGTGACACGGGACCAATTTATTACGTGAGTGGAGCCACCTATCAACTGGGAACTCAGAAGCTGGAGTTTACACTCAAACAAGGAAGACAGACCAGGCGGAGCTGTGCCCTAGGAATAAGGACAGAGCTGAAATAGACCAGCTCCTTGCGACAGAGCCTAAAACGAAACCTTGACAAGAGAAAAGATCATCCAGAGGCTTTCCAATCTTTTTCTCCACGATGTCTGGCACCTAATCCCACCTCCGAATGAGTGTGAAGTAGGAAAAGTTGTCGGCAGCAGTAGAAACTATAGACCTTATTTCTATGGACAGAGAGAAATGAGGATCTTTAGTATCTGAAAACAACTGTGTCATGTTCATCGATTCTAAAATTTAAAATAGAAGCAACACGATTTTTGATTGCACAAATTCATCCGGTAGACAGGAAGAATTTTTAAGAGCCACTTCAAAAATACTGTTACCAAGGACCAGGGAAGAAAGGTCTATTGATATCTGATTCTGTCACGGAGAATCGGGTCGACAATCAAAACTTACGCAGACAGGACATAAATGGGCACTTTGGGGATGTAACTTGAGGAAGATCAAAGGATTCCATTCCAGAAATCACCTTTCACTAGCCTAACACTGTCGTTATTTTTGTATCCTGTAAAAATGGAGATTTCATATAACGAATAAGTAAATAGGGGGCCACAAGGCCCTAAGGCAGTATTACACATTTATATCTAACTAGTGTACAAATTAATTGATCAGATTAGTCAGCAGAGAGCCAAGTCCTAAAGGAAGGAGCAGAATTAGGAAAAGAAATTTTAAAGAACATAAGCCATGTGTTAGATTTGCTTTTCTTTAAAATGTTAGTTATATTCGAAAATGGTTCTGATGCCTTAAAAGTGCCAACTTTTGACATCAGTCTTCCCAAAAAAAGTGTTCCCAGGAACATGAATACATGATACACACTCAGAGATTCACAATTCATAGTAGCATACTGATATGGGCTCTGAACGTCTTGCTGTAAAGAATTTTGTTCAAGTCAGCATTGGTAAAGCTTATTTATTCATCCATCCATTCATCCATTCATTCGGTGAACTGAACACTTACTCTAGGCCTAGCACGTTCCAGGTGCTGGGAGAGAGAAAAAGTCAAGATTCTTACTCTGTCATCACAAGCAGGGTGGGAGACTGCTGGCAAATAAATGAGCTAGAAAATTAACAGGCTGTGACCACTGCTCTGATGAGCACATAACATTTGGTAGGGACTGGCTCATGTGATAGGGACTGATGTAGGCAGTCCTCCGATTTGAGTAGACAGGAAAGGCCCCTTTGAGGACATGACGTTCACTCAGCTGAGGCCTAATGACAAGGAAGACTTCTCCACATTTCTGGACTGTGGGGAAGAGCATTCCAGGCAGAGGAACAGCTAGTGCAAAGGCCAGGAGGAAAGAGCTAAGTGTCCTTAAAAACACAAAAAGAGGACTGGTGTGTCTGGAATATTGTGAGCAAAAGGGAGATGGAAAGGCCATGTAGGGCCTTGTAGATTAGGGCTCCGGGTTTTATTTTAGTGTGAGGGGGAGCTGCTGGAGCTTTCCAGGCATGAACCGTGACATGATCTGATTTATATCCTAAAGGGTTTGTCATATGTGCAGTAAAAGATTAACCCTGTGCGGAGAGGTTTGGCCTTGGCCCTGACCTCTAAGCCCTAGGAATGTTCCACCTGAGATGAGCGTTGATCTTTGTTTACCTGGAGCCTTTGGGCCACACCAGATGCTAACAATGTGATTTAGGCTGGGGGGTGGGGCTTGCTCCTCACAGCATCAGCTCCATTTTTGGGGGGACATTCACGGGGGATTAAGGTCAGCCACACAAGTAGTCAACCATCTCTACAGGACCAAGCCCCCATAAAAATGTTGGCCACCAAGCCTCAAGGGGAGCTTCTCTGGTTGTCAATACTCCATGTGTATTGTCACACATGGTTGCTGGGAGAAATGGGTGTCGTCCGTACAGCTCCACTGGGAGAGGACAACTGCAAGTTCATGTTTATTAATGCTGAACACAGGCATATCCTATAACATAGTAAGTCCACTCATAGGTGTAGATCCAACAGAAGAGCGTATCTATAGTCACC